GACCACCCTCCGGGCCGTGGGGAGACGTTCAGATTTTACTCCAAGCGTGACGGGAGCCTGCCCAGGGGTTGCGGTGGCAGCAGGGGGGGGGGGAGGGGCGGCATCCCACGGTTTAGGGCCGCCTTGGCCTCTGAACCCCTGGCGACAGGGAGGCCACCAAGCTTTCTCGATCCTCGGGGCCGCGATGCGGGCAGAGCCCGAGCACAGCGGGTCGGAGCTCAGTCCCTCCTCGCGGCCCCTTGGCTGTTGCCAGTGACCCGAGGATCCCGAACCGGGGGCGGGGTGAACCGCCTTCTTTCGGACTGTCGTCCACACCCGGACAGGGGTGCTTCTCTCTGGCCTTGCTCTCCCTCCCTGCGCCCAGCCAGCTGGACAGACAGACAGACTTGGAAGAGAGTCCAAATGCCCCCAGCGTCCCCACCCCTTCCCTGGGCCTCAGCTTCGTCCTGCAAAACGGGGGGCGGGGGCAGGGCAGACGGGTCAGCCGTGGGCTAAGGGTCCCCAAAGCCTTAAAGCCCGCCTGTCCCGACAGATGACCCGCGGACGGGGGAAGGAGGGAACTGTCTTGAGAGCTCCTGAGGTCAGGCTCCAGGCTGCGGTGGTTTGGTTGGTGGGGTTTTTTTCCTCCTCTTCAAATAGATTTTTTTTTAAATTTTTTAATGTTTTATTTCTGAGAGAGAGACAGCGTGAGCAGGGGAGGGGCAGAGAGAGGGAGACACAGAATCTGAAGCAGCTCCAGGCTCCGAGCTGTCAGCACAGAGCCCGACGCGGGGCTCGAACCCACGCACCGCGAGATCATGACCTGAGCCGCGAGATCATGACCTGAGCCGAAGTCGGACGCTTAACCACCTGGGCCCCCCAGGCGCCCCTCAAATAGATTTCTGAACGTGACGCAGGGCCAGGAGTTAGATTCGTTTCTAGAATCTCATCGCTCGATGCTACACAAGGCAGCCAAGGCCTTGGAGGCAGGCGGACAGATGCGAAGCAAGTAAACAAAAGCTCGTGCAGCTAGAGAGACCTTAGAGAAAAGGAATCAGGGTGACAGGCCGCGGGGCGGGGGCCCCGGCGGATAAAGTCGAAGAGGTCGCAGGGCCTAGAGGCTGTGGGCCTGGCGGGGCAGGGGCGGGGGGCTGCGGGTCCGAGCAGGTCGCCCACAGGCCGGAGCCCCTGCGGCTTCCCCGCAGCGCAGTTAGGGCCGGATTGGACTTGGCCGAGGAGGGGCCGTGGCCGGTGCTGGGTGGCCGTCCAAGCGGGACGCCTCTGCTGCCGGCTGCCCAGCGCAGCCACAGCGTCCCCACCCTCGGGCCGCGTCAGGGCAGGAGGAAACTTCCAGGGCGGTTGCTAACGCGCTCCTGACTCGCAGAAACGTGGAGGGTCCCCAAGCGGGACAGGGAAGTAACGCTGGAGACAGACCCTGGGGGCCTCGCAGGGGTCACCGCAGGCTCCCACTGGGGCTTCCCAAGGCGCCGCGAGGTCCCTGCCTGCTCTGCCGGGCGGCCCGGGGGGCTCAGCGCACAAACACTTTGTGACCCGCGCAGGGTCGGTGCTGTGGCGGGAAGCGCTCGCCTCCGACCTGGGTCTGAATCCCATCTCATTCATTCAACACATTTACTGAGGGCCTACTATGTGCCAGCCCCGATGCAGCAGTGAGTGAGACAGGGTCGCTGCTCCGGTGGGCGCGACAGGCCGAGGCAGGGCAATCTCAGAAAGCGACAAGTGTGTAAAACAACGTGCCACAGTGTCTGGAGGCGGTGGAGGGGGGCTGCCCGCAATGGGGTAAACCGCAAACGCTTGGCCGCCTTTTCCCGGCCGGGTATCACTGGGGACATTACGTCCCAACCTCTCTGAAGCCTCAGTTTCCCCATCTGGACAGCGAAGGTAGACAGACAACCAGCAGCGCCTGGGAACAGTCGGTTCCTGGCAGGCGTGCGGCCGGGCTCCCCGCTGCTGAGCGTGGGGCGCAGGCTGGCCTCCCGCCCTCAGCGCTTCGGCTCTTCCCCGGGCGAAGTGTCCACACGCCGCGGCCGCGTGTGAGGAGGGCAGACGGAGCCAGGGCTCCCGGGCTGCGCCTCGGCCACCAGCCAGAGCCACCGGGGCTGAGGGCGCGGGAAGCCCCCGGGCCCCCCGCACGATGGCGTCTCCGCCCTGTCCTGGCTGCTTGCGCCCCAAACCGAGGTTCCGGGGAGAGGGATGTCAAACTCTACCCCAGCTCTGAGGCTGGGGGACACTTCTGTCCCTCCCCCCTCCGCCTAAGGAAGCCAGCCCCGCAGGGGACGCGCTTCCCGCAGAGGCAGAGGCGGTCGGGAGCCCCAGTGGGGCCAGCACCCCGGGGGGCCTGTGAGCTCGGGTGGGGGGAGGGGAGGCCCGGGAAGTACCCTGAAGACCCTGCCCCTCCCCCCAAGGCAACGGATGCCCCAGAACGCTGTGGGCTGGGGGCCACCCTCTCCTCACCAGAACTTTCCTCCCTAACGTTAACCACGGAGCTCCTCTCAGCTGCTCTCCTCGGCCCCCACCCAAGGGCGAGCCTGGGAAGACAGTTACTCCAGGGCGGGGCCTGGAGAGGCCATTTTCTAGTTTCCTCGGCTCCGTCCGTCCTTCACACGCTCGGCCCTGGCCCAGGCTCTCTGAGGGGCCTGCATGCAGGCCTGGGCCGCGCCCGCGGGCCTCATGGCGGGGGGGAGAGCCCGGCTCCAGGCCGCAGGACCCCCGGGTGGGGGGGCAGACCAGGGCGCCCCGGGGGGGCGGGGGGGGCAGCCCAGGGTGCCCCGGGGGGCGGGGGGGAGAGCCCGGCTCCAGGCGCAGGACCCCCCGGCGGGGGGGGGAGGGGGGCGACAAGGCCCTGAGCGGCGGTGGCAGCACCTGGAAGCGCCCACGGGAGGCCACGTGCCCCCGGCCGGGGTTACAAAGCCCGAAGAGGAGGAAAACCGGCTCCTGAGGTCCGGGCGCTGTCCCGCCGCGGGGGGGGGAGGGGGGGACACGGCGCGGGAGGAGGAAGTGGGGGGACGCTCTGGAGGGCAACCTGGTCGCAGGTCACCAAAAGTTGGCCATTGAGAGGAAGCCCGCCTACAGGACGAAGCCGCTAGAGCTTTCGGGGCTGGCGGGGCAGGCTGGTCCCAGACGCGCTGAGGCAGCGCCGCCCGGGGCTCGTCGCCCGCCCTGCGCGTCCGGAGCGCGTCACACCTGGATGTGCGGGAGGCGCGGCGACGGGGGGGCCGCATCGGCCGCGGGCGGGGCCACCCTCCCCTCTACACCGTTGGGTTTTATACCACGAATAACTTGAGAAGAAACTAAAGTTTAACGAAACGGGGGGCACGGCGTCCGGGGGCAGGGCCGCCGGGGCGACGCAGCGCCTGGGCCTCCGTTTCCTGTGCCCGCGGAGGCCGGACAGAGGGAGGCGGCGCGACCCCGGGCACAGGCGCCGGTGTCCCCTCGGCCGCGGCCACCCCCTGCCTTCATGCGGCCCCCAACGGAAAGGGCGCTCGTGCCGTGGAAGTGCCACGAGGGGCAGGTTTGCTCCACGAGAAGAACCAGTTAGTGATCGAGACAGAGCCCGACGGGGGAGGGGCAGAGACACACGATCCGCAGCAGCTCCAGGCTCCAGCCGGCAGCGCAGAGCCCGACGCGGGGCTCGAACCCACGAACCCGAGATCCTGACCTGAGCCGAGGTCGGCGCTTCTCCGGCTGAGCCCCCCGCGCCCTCACCCACCTCCACGGTGGAGACAGTGCGGGCCGTGTCGGATCTCCAGGACCCTCCGCGGGGCTCGCGGGCAGCTGCGCTTCCGAGCCCGTCGCGCCCCCCGGCTCCTCCTCGACACCCCCTCGGCCCGGGGGCGAGCGGGCTCCCTCCAGGCGGGGCCTCCGGGAGCCCCAAGCTCTCGGTCCCCACGTCTTGCACCCTTTCAGCCGCAGCGGCGACCGGTCCACCCCTTTGATTTCAGTCCGACCCTCAGAGCCCTGGGAGCCCCGTGCCCGCCCGAGGGCTCCCCAGTCAGGGCCTCGCACCACCCACCTGCAGCTTAAAAGCGACCTTCCGCGCGCTGTCGCGGGTGCGCGTCCCTTTGCCCCCCGCACCCGCAGGACAGGCTTCCCGCCTCCCCCCGCGCGGCCGTGGCCACCGGCGGCCTCGCCGTAAAACACGCCCTGGGGAGACCGGTTCTTTGGGCCTCACCCGTTGCCCTCTGCGGCCCCCGGCTCAAGGCAGGGAGGCCTTCCCGGGGGAGGGGCCCCGGGGGGCGGGGCCTCAGGGGCTGGCGACCCCCCCCCCCCAGCTCTCCCGAAGCCCACCCGGGGCGACGAGCTCAGCGCGGGGGGGCCCCTTGCACGGAGGACACCGCCCAGGGCCCCGGGGCCTTGCTTCCTCCACGCAGGCCGGCCCCCTGCCGGCGCCGGGTCTGTCCCTGTGTCGCCCCGTCGGGGACAGACGGCCGTCCGTGCGGACGCAGACGCAGACCCGCAGCTGGGAGAGGGGCACGCGACGCGCACCCGACCCTTTTCCACACTCTGGGGAAACCGTGGGGGGCGGCGGAGTGCGGGGGTCCAGGCGCGAGGCTCCGGGCCACCCTCGGGGGCTGCAGCCGCAGGCAACGCCGCACGGGCCTCAGGCCGCGGCGCAGAGAGCGGTGTGGCCCGGCCCCCATCTCTTCTGACACTTTAACAGGAGCAAAGCGACACAACAGGGTCAGACGATGAGGGCGCTGAAGAGAAGAAAGCCGGGCGACCTGATGCGGGAATTCCGGGCTAGGAGGCTGCCCGGGAGGCACTCGTGGACTGCGGTGGAGATAAAGGCAGGCAGCCACAGCGCACGTGCAAAGGCCCTGAGGCGGCACCTCCCTGGGTCTGTGTTAGGAAACAAAAGGCCAGTGTAGGGGCGCCTGGGTGGCTCAGTCGGGTCAAGCGGCTGACTTCACTTCCGGTCACATGATCTTCAGCTCAGGTTCATGAGTTCGAGCCCCGCGTCGCGCTCTGTGGCCGGAGCAGATTCTGTGTCTCCGTCTCCGTCTCTGTCCGCCCCTCCCTGACTCACACTGCCTGTCAAAAAAATAAACATTAAAAAAAAAAAAAGGCCACGTGGCGAGTGCACGCTCCTCTCAAGTCTGATGAAAAGCCACTGGAGGCCTTTTCAACAGAAGCGGGAGGCAGGGACCAGACTTCACCTGCTGCCGCAGAGGACGGGGGGCCGGAGGGGAAGGATGGGGACCGCGGGGGGGGGGCTTGGGGAGGTCCTGTTGGGGGGGGAGGATGTGACGGGAAACTATGGGTGAAGGAGACGGTAGAGGAAGAAAACAAACGAGTCTGTGCTTTGGGGCCCGCGCTGCCGGGAAACCAGGCGGAAACCAGGGCCCTGTTCTAGCCGCGCCCCAGGGCACAGGGGTTTGGACACCCCAGCGGGGTCGCGGCGGCGGCTGGAGAGATGCAGAAATGAGGGCCGACAATGGGGGGGAGGCCCTACTCACCCCGATTCTGCCCCCGGCTTCTTGCACAATGACCTGGCCCTGGATGGACGCAGGGGGTGGGGGGTGGGGGGGTCGTCTCCGCTAGGCCCTGGCCACTTCCAGGGGTTTCTTTTTCCAAATTTGGTCAGTTTTCATTGGTTACTTGCGGCCTTCCCCACCTCCGTTTCCCTAGAGGGGCGACGGGGGTGGGGGGGTGGTTTGAGAGGCGTGGGGTTCGAGAAGCAGCCCTGAAGGCCGGCAGCGCCCCAGGCCTAGAACCCTGGCTAACTGGGCAAAGCCACTAACCTGTGTCTCCCAGGCCTCAGTTTCCTCATCTGTACAATGAGGCCACTGGGCAGAAACCACCTGCGTCTCCCGGGAGCCCTGGGCCGCACCCCCCGCCCGGGGCCTGGGCCGCACTCCCACCCCTGCACGTTCCCCCCCCACCCAGTTCCTTCTCCCCTGCAGTCNGTTACTTGCGGCCTTCCCCACCTCCGTTTCCCTAGAGGGGCGACGGGGGTGGGGGGGTGGTTTGAGAGGCGTGGGGTTCGAGAAGCAGCCCTGAAGGCCGGCAGCGCCCCAGGCCTAGAACCCTGGCTAACTGGGCAAAGCCACTAACCTGTGTCTCCCAGGCCTCAGTTTCCTCATCTGTACAATGAGGCCACTGGGCAGAAACCACCTGCGTCTCCCGGGCCCCCCCCCCCCCCCCGCCCCCCCCCAGCCTGAGCCACACGGCCCTGCCTGCACGTTCCCCCCCCACCCAGTTCCTTCTCCCCTGCAGTCAAGGCCAGGCCTCCCCCAGGGCTGGAGAACCTTCCCTCGGCCCGCCCTGGCCACGCTCCCGGGGGGCTGGGGGTCTAGGGGAAGAACTTGACAAAGCCCCCACTTCTGCCCCCGCCCCCCAGGGTGAATCTTCAGATTTTTTAAAGGGAAAGCACATTCTTCTCTGAAATCACCTGATTTTCTCTAACCCTGGTGTTCTGAAAACACTGGGCCAAACAGGCAGATAGGGGGGTGGGCGAGGGCTAGACGCTTGCGGTCTCCTCGGCCCCTCTGACCCATCGATCCGGCTTCTGAATGGGCCGCATCGCGACACACCAGCCCTTTCTTTCTTGAAACTCTCTCCTCTAAGCTTCTGCGCCCCCAGCCACAGCTGGTTTCCTCCCTCCCCTCGGCCCCCTGTGGCCACCCCTCCCCTCCCCCTCCCCCCGCGCTGACCCCAGGGAGGACCCCCTGGCCCAGCCTGCCCCGAATTCAGTTTTCCAGCAACCTCGTCTCCCGCGATGGCCTGAGGCTGCCCCGCCGGCCACTCGGGGTCCCCCAGGCCCCGCCCGCTCTCTGCTCTCGCTCTGACCTTTAGAGCCCCAAGCTCAGGGCTCTCCGGGCCAGTCACCTGGCTCCCTGCCCCATGTCCACGTCCCCTGGGCCACCTCCCCCGCGTGCCCTCTGCTCATTCTAGGATGGCTCTGGGTCCGGACAGACAGACATTCCTGGGGGGGGGGGGGCAGCTCCGTCTTCCTGCTTCTCGGTCACCGAGCAGCAAACAGCCCAGCCCGAAAAGCTCTGCACTTCCGGAACCTGTGGGTTTTGCTTAAGCTCCGCAGTCGCTGCAAGATCTTTCTGCTCCCGGGGCTCAGCCCGGGGCGCTTTCAGAAACCCACCCCCTGCCCCCCCCTCTCGGCTAGGAGACTCCCTCACCTTGGCCGAGGTCCGGCAAGGTTTTCCTGGCCCTTGATGTCCACTCGGGGGGTCCTCCTTCCTAGGAGAGGGGCCCTGGGCTTACCTGCCGTCTCACGGGCTGCACCCACTGCCCTGGGAGTGAGGCCCTTCCTGGCTCCGTGCGACTGACACCCCCTCCCCCATCCCCCCAAAAAACCCCACCCCCGTCTCACCTTTTCTAGCTTCAATTTCTTCACTGGCTTGTCCGAGGGTGAAGGGGTCAGTGCCCGCTCCGGGAAAAGGGCGCGCGGGGAGAGGAGGGGACTCTTGGGGCAGAAGCCCGGACACCCCTATCCTGATTCTGCGGACTTCGGGGCCTCCAGCCCTCTCCCCCTGGAACCCCGATTTTCGACGTCCCGTCCCACCCACCCCTCCATGCTCAGGCCTCAAATCGCTTACCCCAAAGGGGTCGGCTCTCCCCTCGGGTGTCTCCCCGTGGCCTCAGCTTCCCAAGTAGAGGTTTCTTCGGCTTCGAGAAAGACTGTCCGGCGGCCCTTCTGCACCCGCGACGCTGGACCCCGCCCAGCTCGGGGCCCCCAGACGGGCACGGGCTCTGCAGGGGGACTCGCCTGAACCAGAGTCGGGGGTCGCACGCGGGCGCCGAGAATGGGAGGGGTGTGGCCGGAGCGGCTCCCCTCCCCCCTCCCGACTCAGGACTCCCCCTGGGGTCGCACCCCGACTCAACCCGCTCCACCGCGGAGCCGCCGTCTGGCCTTGGGGACAACGGTGGCGGCTCGTGCGCACAAAATGGGGCGCTTGGAGCATCACGCCCGTGGGGGTGGGGGGGTCGGAAACGTCCTCGGGGAGACGCCTGCGGTCGTCCCGCGCTTCAGCCCCGGCGGTGCCCAGGCCCCTCGGGCAGGAGATCCGGGCGCACGGCGGGGGGCGCCTCGGACCCGGGCGGGGGTCCCCCTCGAAGACGCCCTAGCTCACTTCGCGTTGCCCCGGCCGACCGCGCGAGGGCGTGCCCTGTGTTAGTTCGGACGAATTAAAGCTGGGCCGGCGGGCCGGCCTGGGGCCCCCTGGACGCGCTCGGGGCGTCGGCGGCCGCGGCGCACTCTCGGCTGCCGGACGCAAGGCTCCGGGCCGCGCGGCCTCCCCCGGGGCCCGCGCTATTGGCCTCCGCAGCGGGGGCCCCCCTCCGCTCGCCTCCCGCAGCCGAGGGTGCGCCTCTCCGTCCCCGTCTGCCGGGCCCTTCCCGGGCGCGGGCCGCCTCCCCGCTGCGCCGCAGGCTCGGGCCCTGCCCGGGGCGCTCGGCCGGGGGCTCGGCGGCGCCCGGGAGGCGCCGTCCGGGGCGCCAGAGGCCGCGGAAGGGGCTCCAAGAAGCACAAGTTGGCGCTGGCTCCGCACCAGGCTGTTGTTGTTCTCAACGTGGTCCGCCACGGCGCTATAAAGGCGGAGCCGAGCGCCCCCCTCGCCAGAGCGCAGCGCGCACGCCCAGCGGCTCCGGCGGCGACGGCGCTCCCTCGGCCGCTCTCCCCGCTGCGCCCGGGCCCCGGCTCCGGCCCCCCGCGCCCCGGCCCCCCGCGCCCCGGCCCCCCGCCCCGGCCGGCCCGGCCCCCCGCCCCAGCCCTGCCGCCCGGCCCCAGGCCCGGCCGCGGCCGCTCCCGCCTGGAGCCGCCGCGCGCCCCCAGCCCCCCGGCGCCCCCGCGGCCCCTCGCCTTCCTCTTCCCGGCGCGGCCCCCGGGCTTCCGCGCCCCGCCCGCCGCCAACCCGCTCGCCACCATGTCCGTGGAGCTGGAGGAGGCGCTGCCGCCGACGACCGCCGAGGGGGCGGCCCGGAGGGCGGCCAAGGCCGGCGGCCCCGCCGCGCCGGCCGCGGCCAAGAAGAAGCGGAGCAGCCGGAAGAAGAGCCAGCCGGGCAAGTACAGCCAGCTGGTGGTGGAGACGATCCGCAGGCTGGGCGAGCGCGGCGGCTCGTCGCTGGCGCGCATCTACGCGGAGGCCAGGAAGGTGGCGTGGTTCGACCAGCAGAACGGGCGCACCTACCTCAAGTACTCGGTCAAGGCGCTGGTGCAGAACGACACGCTGCTGCAGGTGAAGGGCACCGGCGCCAACGGCTCCTTCAAGCTCAACCGCAAGAAGCTGGAGGGCGGCGGCGAGCGGCGCGGGGCCTCGGCCGCCGCCGCCCCGCCGCCCGCCGCGCACAAGGCCCGGAAGGCGGCGCCGGGGCCGCGGCGCGCGGACACGAAGGCGGCCAAGGGCCCGAAGCCGGAGAAGCGCGCGCACAAGAAGGGCGCCGCCGCCAGGAAGGACAAAGGCGCCAAGGCCAAGAAGGCGGCGGCCGCGGGGGGCGCGAAGGTGAAGAAGGCGGCCAAGCCCAGCGTCCCCAAGGTGCCCAAGGGCCGCAAGTGAGCGCGCCGCCCGGCCGCGCCCCCGGGTGCATGTAGGGTTCGTGCGCTCGCCCGGCCGGGTCCCCCGCCGCCCCCGCTCCGAGCCGCGCGGGGGGCCCGGGCCCCCCGTCCTCTCCGCCCCCCCGCCCCCCCGCCGCCGCCGGAGCGGGATTTTTTGTTGTTGTTTTCGCTTTAGATTTTTGAAACGGCCTGGCGACGCCTCCATTGGCTCGCGCCCTTGGCAACGGCTGTCTCCATGGTAACCGGCCCCCCGGCGCCAGTGGCCGAGGCCGCGCCCGCCAGCCGGGGCGGGGTCCGCGGGGCAGCCGGGCCACGGTGTCCCGATGCGCCGCCGCCGCCGCCCCCCCCCCGCTCCTCCCCGCCCCCGGGTGCGCGACCCGCAACCTCGGGGCGCGGCGCCGCGCGGCCTCCCCTTTCTCCCGGTGGCCTTTTTGGGGCACAATAAATTGTTTAAACCTTTGAGCCGCTTTCGTTTTCTTCCGAGTGGAGGAGGGACGGGCGCGGTCGCCGAGCCGCTTGGGTTGGACGGTGGGCCCCGAGGGTCTTGGGGGCCCCGGGTGCTGGCGGGGTGGGGGTGGGGGTGGCGGGGCCGGGGGGGGCGGTCCCGGAAGGCGCCTCGAGGCACCGAGCCCCCGTGCGCGGAGGTGGAACCGTGAGGGAGATGGGGGTCCGGTACCCCGGGAGAGGCAGCCATGGCCTTTCGGCCTTACGGGCCGGGGCCCCCCAGCACGGGCCCTTGCAGAGCGTAGTGAGCCCGAATTCGCGGAGCCTCGGGGTGAGGGCGCTGGGACGGGGGCCTCGCCGGCCCCCGGGGCGCCACCCGAGGGTGGCCGGTCCAGACCGCACACACCGGCCCCGGAGGACGACGGGACACGCTGGGAGAGGTGACCCTCAGCCCCCGGACACCCTGGTGTCCAGCAAATGGTACTTAAGCCCATTTGAGCCCTTGACAGATGTTCTTAGGAGGACAACCCTGCAAAAGGAGGGCTCTGGAAGCTAGAGAACGTTCTAGAACAGTGTGTGCACATGTGCCAAGCTGGGTAAGCCCGGGCTGGGGTGGGTGGCAGGTGGGGACGATGTCTGTGTTCCTGCTAGATTACAGGTGGGGGGGGGGGAAGGCAGGAGGGGAGGGGGCCCCCGCTGGAGAAGCACCCCCCCCCCCGCAGGGCCCGGCAGCCACTCCCCGCCCCCGGCACACAGCGGGGGGCACAGGATCCATCAGCCTGCAGAGCCTCCACACGGCACGTGGCCACTCCACTTGCTCTTCCAGTTTGGGTTTTTTTAATTTTAATTTTTATTTTTGAGAGAAAAATAGAGACAGCGTGAGCGGGGGACGGTCAGGGAGAGAGGGAGACACAGAATCAGAAACAGGCTCCAGGCTCCGAGCTGGCAGTCAGCACAGAGCCCGACGCGGGGCTCGAACCGGCGAACCGCGAGATCATGACCTGAGCGAAAGTCGGACGCCCAACCGACTGAGCCCCCCAGGCGCCCCCATCTCTTCCAGTTTCTCAGAGCCTTGCTGGGGGCCCCTCCCTGCTGCCTCCTGCCTCGGGGGCAGTTCCCAGACAGGAGGGTTTGAGGACACGATGCCCCGCCACCCACCAGCCTGGCTGTGACCGTTCTGCCTCTGGGGAGCCAGGGGGGTCCGGGAAGCAGGCAGGAAGCCGGGGTTGGAGACCGCGGGACCCTGGTGGCCCAGGGCTCAGCCACCCAGCCAGCGCCCTGCCCTGGCCCCCTGCTGACCGGTAACAGGGCACCCCTTCTGCAGCTTTTTCCGGGCGGCATGCCCAGTGCCCTGCTACAGGGCCGCCTGCAGCTAGCGGCCACCCGGGACTGGGGGGCCTCCTGACCCGCTGGACGTGGTCCCTGATTCCACGCCCACCCCGAAAGCTCTCCGAGCCCTTCAACCACAGCTTCCCCCCGGCCGCGGGCCCTTCAGCTCCTTCGTGTCCGGCGCCCCCTCTCCGAACTGCCCACCCAAGCCCACCCTCTTGCTCATGCCGTCTGCCCCCTCGGGGGCCGCCCCCGCCTCTCCGGCCTCCGGCGTCGGTCCCACGAACACGTGGGCCCCCGGGGGGCGGTCTTACCCCCCGGGCCAGCCCTCCATGGGCCACGCCTCCCACTAATAGTTTTCTGGTGGCCGAAGCCACCCTGCTCTCAGGCCACGTGGCTCCGAGGAGCTGCTCGCTCGGGACGGTCGTGTGACTGAGGACCTGGCCGGTGAGGAGCGTCCCCTTGGTCACCTGGCCGCAGCCATCGGGTCAGAGACGGTTCTCGGCGGCAGTGAGGCGGGCGAGCGTCGGCGCTGGCACGCTGCGGCCGCTGCTGAGAAAGGGGTGCCGTCTCCCCCAGGTCGGGGCGGGAGGCCACTTTCGTCGGCGCACAGGGAGGGCCCGTGCGAAAACGCCAAGACCGAGGAAGCTGGCACCGCCGAGTAGACGCGGGTGACCCGAGGACGTTGGCGGGGCCCCCGGATCCAGCCCCGCTGCCACGGAGCGGATGCGCGGCTTTCTACCCAAGCTCGTTTGAACTGGGTCCTGCCGCTTGCAGTCTGGTCTCGCTCCTTTGAGCCACTTTCCCCTCCATGGTCACATCCCGGACCTTGTCATCCCTTTAAACTGCTCTTCTCCGCCCGAAAGGACTTTCCCAGCGTCCCACTCTCTACCCACAGCCCCCCCACCCCGTGCTCACTCAGACCCTTCAAGCGAGCGTGGGGCCCACGTCCCTGCCCTGCACCCCAGCTTGCACCCCAGCCGTGGCCGGTGTGCGCCCGGCACTGAGGCCGCACAGCCTCCTCTCGGCCCTGCGACAGCGCAGCCAGGAGGGCGTCCCGAGGCTCGGCCTGCGGGTCTGGGGCCGCGACGGGGGAGCCCGGGTTTGCCTGCTGGACGCCCGCTCAGCTCCCGCGCCCCCGGGGAGGCTGGGCCCCCGCGTTTACCTACCGGGTCTTTCATCAGGCCTCGCATCCCAGGTGGCCCTCGGAGGCTCGTGACACTGAGGCCCTGGAGGCGGGTCCCCTGGGGCACGTGACCCCGGGGCAGCGAGGAAGCAAAGGGCCAGGTGTACTTGCCTGTCTGCAAAGTAGGGGCTTAGCAATGGCCCCAGCCTGGGCTCCTCTCTGCACCCCCTGATCAGGCGGGGGAGCGGGGTGCGCGGCGGGACCAGGTCCCCGGAGGCTGAGGCCAGCTCTTCTGTTCCGGGCAGAACTGTTCTCCCGGTTCCTCGGCTTCCTCACCTATAAATGGAAGCAAGAAGGATTTCTTTTACTCACCCATCGGCTAGCCGGGTCTCCGCGTGTTTTCCTGGCCCCCTGTGACCTCCTCGGGCACTCGGGTCTGCCCCCTGGCTCCCCAGAGGCGACTTCTTCCTGCTCCCGGGACAGCCGTGGGGCCTCCACTGGGTGAACAGCCCCCTGCGCCCGTCCCTCGGCCGGGGCAAGGCGGGTGCGGGCACAGAGCCTGGTGGGGGTGGGGCGGGAGCACTCCGCACGAGGTGGGGGCCGCCACCCCCGGCCCGGGCATCGGACCCCGGGTGATGTGGCCAGGGGGCCGGGGGGCCGGGGGGCAGGAGCCGCAGAGAGGCCCCGGGTCACTCGCGGGCCGGGCAGAGCCAGGGACCCGCTTCCCGCTCTTGAGGAGGACGGACGGGAGGACGGCGACACGGCAGCTGCGGGGGGTCAACAGTCCAGGCCGGGCCGCGCTGACACAGCCACCCCCCCCCCCCACCGGGGTGACCAGAGCTCATCTCAGTCTGGGGAAGGGGGGAAGCGGCAAGTCCGCTGACAGGCGGGAGGCAGGGGGAGTCGGGGCTTCGGGCCCCGAGTCAGCGCGGTGGGGAGCAGCGCCGGAGGCCCGGCGGCACGGGCGCACCCCTGCACGGGATCCGGGCCCCGCAGGCGGGAGCCCTGTGACGAGGCTGGAGGTGCCCGCCCAGGAGGGGGCGCTCACGAGCAGGCTGCGTCCGCACAAGCCGGAGCCCAGGGCAGACCGAGCCGCCGTGCGGGTTCTCGGTGCCCCTGACCTTGGTCGCGGCCGTTGTCCTGGGGAAGCTGAGAGCCTTTGCGGGAGCTGACCCCGCACACGCCGAGCGGGCCGAGCCGAAGAGAATCCAGGGCGCGCGGAGTCGTTGGTGCTGCTCCACACCGAGGGGCGAATCGGCACCCGAAGTGACGGCTTCCTTCCCAGTCGGGCCAGAATCCACCTTGCCTCGCCCGGTTCCCCGTTATAAAGCGGGTGGGCCTGCGTGGACGGGGTGAGGAGGGGCGGGACCAGGGGTCCCTGACACACACGTGCATCGGCGCCCGGCCAGGCAGGGGGTCCGGCCAAGGGGAGGGCGCACACCCCGCGGGCGGGGGCTGACCGCTCCCCGTTTTCTCAGACCGTGAAAATGTGAACCTGTGGCCTGGGCCGCCCACCCTGCCTGGCGGGGAGTCCCACCCAGCGAGTGGTCCCACGCGGGGCTAGGTCACCACAAGCATCTCTTGAGAATCTTTTGTGCAGAAACAATGCACTTTTTTGGTGTGAAACCTCCCACTCGTAAAATGCGGGCTTACAAGAGAGCAATACTCCACCTTACACGCACCGAGACTACTTGAAAATAAAGCGTTGGCAAGAATGCGGGGAAATTGGAACCCTCGTACACGGCCAGTGGGACCGGGAGATGGTGCGGCTGCTGGGGAAGATGGCACGGCGATTCCTCGAAAAATTAAATGGGCCGTCATCACATCATGCAGCGATTTTGCTTCCGGGTGGGGGCCCAAAAGAATTGAAAATATCAACTCAGAGAGATGCGCGCAGCCCCGTTCATAGCAGAATTTTAGTTTGGCAAGCTGAACGAGAGCCGGAGATGGGCCGCGCAGCAGTGTGACTATACGCAATGTTACGGAGATGGTTAAGATGGCAAATTTCATGTTCTGTGTGTTTTATCACAGTGGAAAACACATTCCACGCGGCCAAACTCCCGTGTGAGCTCCGTGCGGCCCCCTGCTGCCCGGCCCTTCTGGCTGCTTCGCAAGACAAGAAGTCCTGAATGGCGGGGCCCTGCTGGAAACTAAGCCAAGAGAAGCTATAAAGCGGCGAAAGCCAGAGACCCAGCCAGCCGCTAGCGCGGGTCTGCACCGGGGTAATGACCGCTCCGAGCAGAGGTATGTCCTGGCCTCCCACCGGCCAGCATCTGCTCCTCTGGAGTCCTAGGTCAACTGCGAGTACCCACTCTCCTGATTCGCAGATGGGCAAACTGAGTCTCTGAGGAGCCAAAGGACTGTGTCAAACATTTGAAAGCATTTCTTAATGTTTATTTATGGAGAGAGAGAGTGAGCACGAGTGGGGGAGGCGCAGAGAGAGAGGAGACAGAGAATCCCTGGCGGGCTCCACCCCGTCAGCACAGAGCCCAATGTGGGGCTTGAACCCACGAAACTGTGAGACCACGACCTGAGCCGAGACCGAGATTTGGACGCTTAACTGACTGAGCCACGCAGGCGTCCCTGGACTTCGTCAGAGTTTCACTAGGGACCCCCCCATACAGCGGAAGGCAAAAAGCTCCTCCCCACCCCCACCCCCCACCCCCCACTCCTACCACCTGCTTCTCACTCGGCTGCGAAGGGGGAGGGAGGGTATACAGGCCGAGGGGAGGACCTAGGAGTGCGGGGCCACCCGGTGTCTCTGGTTCCCACCACCCATCCCCGCTTTGCAGCAGCAACAGGAGCTTGTCCAGACTCCCTAAGTGTGAACGCCCGTCCCAGGCCAGGAGGCCCTCGGGTGCGCCCCGCACTCGCTGTGTCCTCGGCCAGGCCCTTCCCTTGCCCACGGCTCTTCCGCCTCTGGGCGAAGCACGCCGGCCTCAGGAACACGGGCTTTGTACCGGGAGATGGATCTAGATAGACTGCAGATGGGGGCAGATACCTGTCTGTCAGGTCCCGGGGTACCGGGGACCCCCTGCCTCTTCCAAGGCCACAGAGGAGAGGAGAGAATCTGCTGAGGCCCGGGTCCCAGCCTGCTCACTGCACTGGGAAAGCAGGGGTGGGGGCGCTGCCATCTGGGGCCCAGCCAAGGGACCAGACAGATGGTGGGGCCGCCCCGCCTGCCCCGGGAAGCAGCCGGGGCCCTGGGCGGCCTTGGCCACGCCAGCTGGCAGGACCCCCAGACTTATTCCTTAAAAGCAAAGGACAGGATGAGGCGCCCCACTGCCCTAAGCAAGCGAGCTAAGTCCTGGCAAAAGGTGGGCCTCACCCCCCCCCCCGATATCAGTGCAAATCTGTGGGGAGCAATTTGTCAGCACCTGGTAAAGCTGTTGACCCAGCTGAGAAAAAAATTGCAGAACGAGATGCCCAAGATGATACCATTTTTGTAAACCTGAAAATCACAAAATAGGTTCTCAGGTACAAGAATGCGCTTTGCACATCACATTCGTTTGCAAGTAAACCCGAGTGAAAAGGATACAGGCCCCTGAGGACATTCTGTCCCTTCAGGTTAAAATGGAAAGTCCCTGGGGCGCCTGGGAGGCTCAGCTCAGGTCGTGATCTCTGTGGGTTCAAGCCCCGCCTCGGGCTCTGTGCTGACAGCTCAGAACTGGAGCTGCTTTGGATTCTGTGACTCTGTCTCTCTCACCCTATCTCGCTCGTGCTCTCTCTCTCTCTCTCAAAAAAAAAAAAGCAAAAAGGGAAGTCCCTACCCCAGTGATTGCAACCCTGACAAATACTGGAGATGCTAATACGAAACGAAGGGGATTTCATTTTTGCTGCTTATTAAATTTGAAGCAAACATGACAAAATAAGCGTAACAGTCAACCGCTGGTAAGTTACATGTATTTTTAAGTTTCTTGGTAACACTAACAACCAAAACCCCGCGCAAACCAACCCAAACAAAACTGGAGGCGACAGTGAAAAGGCCCCCGCCTCCAGGGAGCAGGAAGCGGGGCGGGGGGCGGGGGGGGGGGCCTCCGTGGGCCGACCCCGCCCCTCGGCCGGAAGGGAGGGGCGCCGGGGAGGAATTTGCGGAGCAGGGGAGGGCGGGCCCCGCTGCGGCCCGGGTTCGACCACGGGGGCTGGCCCCGCCCCCCGGCCCCCCACCCCAACTCAGGGGGTGCCGGGCGCTCTCATTAGCGGAACGGCGCCGGAGTCCCTCTCTGATTGGTGAAAATTGCGATCCTTGATTTGCATAGGGCTCCGAGCCGGCGCCCCCGCCCGCCGCGGCCGCGTCTGCGCGGTGGTCGGGTCGCACTGGGGGCCCTGCCGCCCCGGACTTCCGGGCCCGGCCCGGCCCGTGGCCCGCGTCTCCCGGGCGCCCAGAGAGGACGTTGCGGAGCGTTCCCGGAGCTTCTCCGGAGCCCCCTGCTGCGCCAGGCCCGCCCCTGCCTCCCCCGCGCCCTGCGCTCGCCCCGCGGCCCTGCACCCTCTTCCCGGAGGTTTGCGGGGACTTCGCTGGAGGCGCTGCTGACCGTGGCCCTCGGGCTGTTCCCATCCCCTCGACGTACACGCGCGCATGCACACGCACGCACACACACGCGCCAGGTGTGTCCCCGGGTCAATGCCTGCGCTCCCAGCCCAGGGCGGGGCCTCGGGCTGTTCCCGTCCCCTCGACGTTCGCGCGCGCGCGCGCACACACACACACACACACACACACACACACACACGCACACGCACGCGCGCCAGGTGTGTCCCCTGGTCAATGCCTGCGCTCCCAGCCCAAGGCGGGGCACGCAGGAAGTGCTCACACTCCCGTAACCCGCACTCACACACCCACCGTTAACGGTGGCAGAAAAGAACGGTGAAAAGCGGCCCCTGCTTTCAGAGAACTGTGACCTGCGTGAGGCGACGTCAGGGAAGAACCGTGAATTACAACGTGGTTCGGTGCCGGGGAGGGGCCTGCACAGTAAATCGCAGGGGCGCCGACCAGGCTGGGCAGGTGGTCAGCCCGGCCCCGGTCCCCAAGCCCATGTCACCCCCTCTGCCCTGCCCTGCTCAGAGGCCGGCACTCGGACAGGGCCTGGCGGGCCGTGCCGTCCCGGCTCCCTGCGCTCAGGGCAGGGGTCTGGCCTCTGCACCGCATTGTCCCCCAGTCCCCGGTGTTCAGCAAGCGCTCAGGGTGGTTTTAAGCTACAGGACTCACAGGGGCGCCTGCGTGGCTCAGGCAGGTAAGTGCCCGACTTCCGCTCGGGTCATGATCTCACTGTTGGTGAGTTCGAGCCCCCGGTCTGGTTCTGTGCTGACAGCTTGGAGCCTGGAGCTGCTTCGTTCTGTGTCTGCCCCTCTCTCTGCCCCTTCCCTGCTCATGCTCGGTCTCTGTCTCAAAAGTAAATAAAAAAACATTAAAAAAAAAATTAAGCTAAAGAATTCACAAGACTTACAAGTATTAAGAATGAACAGAGACTCCATAAAGAACACTCTCTATCCCGCGCCGAACCTTCTTACGGTTTCCAAGAAAGCAGTTTTCTGCACAGAAAGCCCCCCGCGCTCTGTATTTGTACAAAGCCATGCCTTAGGACTGATCCCAGGAGAACACACGAAGAACCAGAACTTCCCCTCACGGTAGCATTTTCTGGAAGGTAGACAGTTTATCAAATATAATTTATTCGGAAAAAAATACAATGTTTTAAGAACTTAATTCCACAGGCTGGTAGCAAACAGCCTTCCGTGAGCGGTACCAGGTCAGGGCCGAGAGCCGCCAGCAGGGTCCTCCAGGCAAACCCGGAGGGGCCACAGCCAACGCCCCTTACGAGCGGCCAGGGGCGCCCCCCGCCCCCCAGGCTGCCCCTGTGCCTCCCTGGGGCTTCCTGGCAGGACCGCTGCTCAGCCCTGGGCCCGCGGCTGCCGGCTGCCGTGCCACCGCACCCCGAAGCAAATCCGCAAGCACCCGTCACCAGCCGCCACAGGAGCGCCGCGAACCGTGGGGACCGTCCTGTGTGCCGCTACTGGCTGTGAGGCCGCTTGGCCACGGGCTCCTCCCGCTTCAGCCACCGCGCCAGGAGGGCCGCAGCGCCTCTCTTGGGGGGGAGCGGGCTCTTGTGCAGGACCTGGCTGCGCCACTGGGGCACATCCGGCTCTGCCTTCTGGGGTGTTTGGGGGTCTTCCTTTGTGGGTGACTTTGTGGGTGACTTTGTGGCCAGCCACTGCATCATCTTCTGGCTGCTACGGCTCGCCTTGAGCTCCTAGAACAAAGAAGGAAATGCTCGAACCACCCCGCTCTGGCTTTTAGGGCCACGCCAACCCCACGGGAAGAGACCGGGTGGGGGCACCAGGTGCTGAGCCAGGCTTGGAAACCGTCGTGAAGAGCCAGATGGGGTGACAGGTCACAGGGACGGGACGGGAGGAGGAACTGCGTGCGCCCCGAGGGGTACAAAGGGGTGGGGGGCGGCGCTCACAGCGGGCTTCCCAGATCAGGCGTGTGGGGCCCGGAGACCGAGAGGTGGGAGGCGGCGACACTCCCGACAGGCGACAGGCGCAGGGAAAGCCGCACTCCGGGGCGGGGTGAGCGCGCTGGATGGATGGCGGGGAAATGGGACCGGAGGGTGTGGCTTCAGTCACTGCGATTAAAGGTTTGGGGCGAAGGCTGGACGGACTGACGCGCTTCCCCACCACGCAACCTCTCCGTGGCCGGCACTGCTCCCTCCTGCGCCCTCACACCCGCGCCCCCACGCTGAACTGAAGGTTCTGGGCTCGCAGGACCGCCTCTCCGGAATGGGGGTGCCTCAGCAGTACAGACCGTGGCTGAAACGAGGCAGTGTCTGGTGCAAGATGAGTGTGTATCAGGACACTCTCTGAGACATGGAATGAATCGAAGGGTCAGGGTTGCGGGAGTTTGCAGAGAACGGAGACAAAAGAAAAAAGATGACACCTGAGTATGGAAAATGTAGAAACCGGAAAAAAAATGGGGGGTGGCTGTTTCGTGTTCTAAGATGCCTGTGCCTGGAACCCTCTGTGCCACCTGGAACCAGCTGCTACTCCTGAATCCTCATCCCCAGATGTTGGCAGGGGCCACTTTTTGCTCTGGGACTTCCGTTCCCTCGGGAGCCTCTTTGGCTTGTTCACCTTCCCTTGAAAATACAGCTGGATCCTTTCCAATTCTAAAAAGTGAAAGTTCACGGCAGGAATATTCTCAAATCCTCCTGAAGGAGTACAAGGCTTGGAGCGCCTCCAGCTTGTAGCTGGGGGAGCGGAGGTACGAGACACAGGGAAAGCTACGCAGCTGCAGACAAAGATACAATATGGACAAGGATTCCTTGGTCTTTCTTACAATCACCCTGCGGATTAGGAATCTTCAAACCTGGCTTGTCAGATTTACTGAAGCAGCTTCGGAAGGACACAGAAGCCCAAGTCCAGCCCCGACACTGACTCAATAGGTCTAGACAGGGTCCAGCATTTACATTTTGAAAGAGCTCTGAGGCGTCTGAGTCACAGCCAGCTTTGAAGATCACTGCTCTGTTCAACCTTGTCCTCGGGGAAATACGAGCGCTGGGCGCGGAGATGAGCGCTAACGGCGGCGAGCCCGGGGGCAGTCAGTTAAGCATCTGACTTCGGCTCAGGGCACGTTGAGCATGAGCCCCACCTTGGTGAGCCCCGCTTCCCTCTCTCCTTCTGCCCCTTAGGGGATTCGCTCTCTCTCTGCCTCTCTCTCACTTGTGGGCCCCCCCCCAAAAAAGAAAAACCCAAAACAGGTAAAGCAGATTGTGAAAGGCCATATCCTAAAAGAAAATGACATGGCGGCAGAAGACAGAAAGCTCAGCAAGGGCTGGCGGCATCACACACCCCACCTTTCTGGCCAGCAGGTTGACAGGAGTCACACAGTCCGGAGAGCTGTTGCAGGCGTTGTTCACCACGGAGGAGACCGCGTGGAAGCGGATGTTCTCTGTGGGGCGGATTAACTTCAGGGCTTCCTGGGCTGAGACCTCACCGAAGTCAAGCCATCTGGACACTTCCTCCTCTCCATCTAGTATGGCAGGCATCCTAGGCAGCGAGGCAGAGGCGTTGGGTGGGAGGCAGAGTCGCGTGAGGGGAGGGACGGCGGGGAGCCCTGGGAGAATCCGTCCTCCCTCCGCACCTCACGCCCCACGGCTGTGTGACCACAACCGGGCAGGGCACGACATTACCACGAGGGGAACCGGCTCACGGGGTTTTTACGGCAAAGACCGGGAACGGTGAGTGTGTGACCCGACCCCGGGCACGCCAGCATGCCTGCTGACCAACTGGTGAACTGCCCACGGGGCCGCAGCCAGGGGTGAAAGGGAAACGGAAGGGAAGACTTTCCCTGGTAATCTCTAGATTCAGTTAGAAAGAGTGACTCCCAGAATTGTGAGCCACGCCCACGCCTCAGACGGCAACCGCGTAAGATGGGTCCCGGCCCCCGGGAAGATGTGGGAAGAGCACTGTCAGCAGCGATACAGAAGCTAAGTGCAGGAAGGGGCTCTGCACTGGATCAAATGGATCCCTATTATTTTTTAAGGGGTTCCTGACCCATTTTTAGGCGTTGCCCCCTAAAGCCCACCTTTCCCGTGAGGTCTCAGGTTTGCACCGTGAAGTTCTGCGCTGTGTGCTGACTTTTAGGAACGCAGGTCATCTTACAGCCACGCTAACCGTCACTATAGTTTGCACAACAAGCGCTACTCTCTCAATCTGCGCGCACGGAAACATGGAGTCAAAACGCTCCCTATCTACGAGCAGGAAATAGATCTCCCCCAGAACCTTCTGGACGCAGGGACGCGATACGTGACTTGCCTGTGGTGAATGTCACTCAAGCTCTTACAGGCATCTACCGTGATGACGGTGTAGGAATACAGGAGGCCGCCTCCTCCCGGGGGCTCCCAGCAGTCAAAGACCCCCGCCATCGTCAGCAGCCTCCAGCTGCCCCAGACTTTCTCCCAGAGCTCAAGGCTGGCTGTGACATCCACGCTGCCGGACTGGAAGCAAAATACACAGGCAGATGAGATACAGCAGCCCCTCCTGCACACAGACTCAACACGGCAGTCACTTCAGAGCTGCTTCAGCCCACGTGTTATTAACTCTTCTTGATCCACTGTTGCCAAAACAAAGAGGTTTGGGAGGAAGTACCCACTGAAGCTATGGATTTATGGCTCCTTGATGCTTTCACAGTTCAATCCGACACCATCAATAGGCATTCAATCTTCCGTGATCTGGCCCGTGATTCCCCTCCACCCTGACAATAAGAAAAAGAGCCAGGAGGGGCACCTGGGTGGCTCAGTTAAGCATCCAAATTGGGCTCAGGTTGTGATGTCACAGTCTGTGAGTTTGAGCCCTGCCTCTGTGCTGACAGCTCAGAGCCTGGAGCTGCTTCGGATTCTGTGTCTCCCTCTCTGCCCCTCCCCTGCTCACACTCTGTCTCCCCAAAGTCTGTCTGTCTCCCCAAAATAAATAAAAACATTAAAAAAAAAGTACTGAATCCAAAAGCAGCTATGAAAAACATGAGCAAAGGAAAAAAGAGCTAATGAAACAGAAAACTGGCAAAATAATGAATTTTTAACCCCATCAGATTGCTAATTACATCAAACGTAAATCTTCTAAACGCTCCAAAGTTCCCTCCTCTGGGAGGCCTTCTGAGACGCCCCGGCCTGAGTTATGTCCTCTGTGCCGCCATTACCTCACGTGAGCATTCGCCACTGGCCTGCCCCTGCTCACGGGCATGTGTCTTGGCAATAAAGCATCAAGGACAGAAATCCTGTCTCACTGAACTTCCAGGAGGCCAGTAGCAGGGCCATAAACAATGGTAAGTGGTTAACACACGTCCATTGAACAGGTGCATTGTTCTAGGTAAGAAAAACTGTATGGGACTGAAGGAAGTGCCATCCTGATCCACACGAAGGCCTAACAGCCTCTCTAGAAGAGTGTGCCAGAGGAAACTGCAACGTTAGGGCACACACTTCCTAAAGATGGAAAAGCTAAGCACCAGAAATCTTTTGGAGTGGATTCCTCTAGAAAGAAGCCCCAGAATTCTGACTTACTATTAACTTTAATTATTTTTATGGAAACTCTACATCCCATGTGAGACTCGAACACACAACCCTAAGATCAAGAGTCGTGTGCTCCACGGACTGAGGCAGCCAGGCAACCCCCCCATAATTCCCAAGTTTAATGACGCAAACTGCAGTGAGGATGCAAAGGCTTCAGCAGTGCTCGAGCCATCCATCTGATTAAAATGAAAACATGATGTTGGCATGTCTGATTTGTTTTCAATCTACTCACAATGTTATGCGAACAGGCTAAATTTATTATTTGTCTTGGGGGGGAGGGGGGAGATGGGCATGGAGGAGGGCACTTGTGGGGATGAGCACTGGGTGTTATATGGAAACCAATTTGACAATAAACTATTTGTAAAATAAAAAAAAATATATATATAGAAAAAAAATTTATTATTTGTCTTAAAATGAAGGTTCTATGAGGAAAATGTTAAATATAGAGTTACCATGTGACCTGGCGATTTTACCCCTAGGCATAAACTCGAGAAATTAAAACATATCCACGTAAAAACCTGTACGTGAATGTCCCGAGCCGCATTATTTATAACAGTCAAAAGTAGAAATAATTTAAGTGTCCATCAACTGGTGAATGAATAGACAAAACGCGGCCCTTCCACACAACGGACTGTTACTCAGCCACAAACAGGCAATGAAGCAGTAACACGTTCTATCACATGGATCAATCTTGAAAACATACACTGAGTAAAACGAGCCAGATAAAGACCACATATTATACGACTCCAAATACATTCAATGTACAATAAAGTCAAATCTATAGAGACTGAAAGATTAGTGGTTTCCAGGACTGTAAAGAATAGGGAATGGGCAGTGACCGATAACAGATATGGGATTTCTTTTGGGGGCGATGAAAATGTAACATTAGACAACAGTGAAGGCTGCACAACTTTGAAAATACTAGAAAAATCGCTGACTTGCATACTTTAAAAAGATGAATTGTATGGTGACTTATACCTCAATAAGGCAGTTATTTAAAAAAAAAAAAACAAAAACCTGGGGTGCCTAGGCGGCTCAGTCGGTTGAGCATCTGACTTTTGCTCAGTCATGATCTCAGTTCATGAGTTCGAGCCCCACGTCGGGCTCTGTGCTAACAGCTCAGAGCCTGGAGCCTGCTTCTAATTCTGTCTCCCCGCCTCTCTCTGCCCCTCCCCTGCTCATGCACTGTCTGTCTCAAAAATAAACAAACATTAAAAAAAACAACTCACGACTCTATGAGGAGAGAAACAAAATGTCCTTTTTTGCATTAGTTTCTCTGTCCCTTTCCAACCTGTGAATGCTGTCACAGTACCTCTTCGGTGATGGCCTGGGGGAAGTAGATGAAGTATGCCTGCTTTGGGGCTGTTCCCAGACATTTCTGCCACTCGTAGAATCCATCTGCTAAAATGACACAGCGTCTTCCCTTTTCAAGAGGTAGCTGAGGGAAAACATGAGCAAGGGACAGTGTTAGTGACAGAATAGTTTTGTGCTAAACCACTGTGTTCTGGCATCATGCAGGAATGTGTACGACCACGTTCAGCAGTATCAGCGACTGGGAACACACTTTCCAGAAGAACCTCATCTTATTTCTCAGGTTTATAAGATACTAACAGCTCTGTTGGGAAAAAGAGCAGAGTAGGCGCCTCTTCTCCAGACCAGCCACCTACCCTGAAGGACCGCTTCTCCATGATGGTGTCACTGCGACAGTTGGTAGTGTGGAACTGCAGCTTGGAAGGATCATCCTCTTTGAACCAAGATGGGACCAGGCCCCATCGCATGGGGGCAATGACGCGCTCTGATGAGTCTGCACCCTGCCGGGGAGGGGGTTAAGATCCAGTGAGGAGACCATAATGAAAGGTAGAAAACCACATGGGGCACGTGCATTATGTCGCTATTAATATCGAAACACAGAAAAATACAGAGAAAATTAAAAGGGACAGATCTACTTGAAAGCAATTTTAATGATTTATCCATCATGATGTGATTAACTTTAGGTCTTCAGCAATTCGTGTCCTTTAGCATTTACTGGAATGTAAGACAAACTGCTTGGGTGGGGGGGGATACAAAGAAGTTTAGTCCCTGTAAACTCTGAATTAGTGCCTGCTACGAGAGCGCGAGAGCGCGCGCCCTAGGCCTAGCAGTCACGTGGTGCCAGCTCTCAAACGGCACGTGCTACAGGGGAGCTGGGGTGGCTTGGCTGAGATTCCAATTCTTGATTTTGGCTCAGGTCATGATACCAGGGCTGTGGGATCAAGCCTCATGTTGGGCTCGGTGCTGAGCATGGAGCCACTGAAAGCTTCTCTCTCTTTCTCTCTCTCTCCTCCCTTCTCTACCCCTCATACTCTCTCTCTAAAATAAAAATAACGTAAATAAGCGAGCACATGTTACAGACAACAGTAATACCATGAGGCACACACTAGGATGGGGGATGCACAGGGTGCTGTGGGGGCGCACGGAAGAGCGCTTAACCTCAAAAGACTTGCAGGATGACACGTGAGGCCTCAAAGACATCAAGATATTAATAATATAAGATACAACAGGCTACGGGCCATAGAGGCGGTACATACAAGGAATGGCAAAGAAGCTGAGCGAGAGTGATCTGTGAGAGATGGAAGGGAGGGGTATCAGCTCCTTGGAGGAAGCAGAAAGGACAGGGGTGGGGTAGGTCTTCAACTGGATCCCATAAGAGGTACAAAATTCAGACAAAGAAGAGACTTGGAGGGAAGACCAGACAAAAAATGAAAAGAACACGGGTGCCTGGCTGGCTCAGTTGGAGAAGTGTGCAACTCTTGATCTTAGGGTCATGAGTTCAGGCCCTACATCGGTTGTAGAGATTACTAAAAAAAAAAATTTAATGAACAAAGAGGCAATGTCAAGAATGTGTAGGAAGTGGTTTTGCGCAGGAAAGTTACAGCAAGCCCAAAGATGCTATTTTTAGAAGGGCCTGCTAACGAGGTTGGCCCTCAGCATCTGGGGGCTTGGATTCTGAGTGTTCCCTTTTCTTAACTGATAAAGGGGCTTATGCTGAACATCTTTCCTTCGGAGACTCGGGAATTTAGGCAGTTGCTAGGCAGAGTGCGTAATAAAAACCTTGGGCTCCCAGTTTCCAACGGACTGCCCCAGGCAGAGACACTGCACGTTACTACGTTTCTCATTGCTGGAGAAGGCAATGTACATCCCCTCACAGGAAGGAGAGAACATAAGGGAGCCTATTGGTGGACTTTTTTCCCAGATTCTACTTATGTCTCCGTGCCGTGCAAATACTATTGCGTATCCTTCCACTGTAAGAAGCCTTAGCTATGATATGCCTTGTATGCTGAGTCCGTCCAACCAAATCTGCAAATATGGGGGTACTCACTCTTCGGGGTCTTCAACACACAGTTGTTAAACTTTATTGGGGTAACTGGCCCCTTAAGAATATGGGGGCGTCTGGGTGGCTTAGTCGGTTAAGCGTCCGACTTTCGCTTAGGTCATGATCTCGCGGTTTGTGGGTTCGAGCCCCGCGTCGGGCTCTGTGCTGACAGCCAGCTCAGAGCCTGGAGCGTGTTTCAGTCTGTGACTCCCTCTCTCTCTGACCCTCCCCTGCTCACGCTCTCTCTCTCTCTCCTAGAAATAAAAAACATTAAAAAAAAAGAATGTGATGAAATCTACAGGTTAAAATGCACGTGCGTGTGTCCACACGCACTATTCTATGCAGTGTGGTACACTACAGGTTGGAAGAGACCATGAGCAAAGAGTGAATTCTGGGTGCTACTATAATGGTTTGGGGGTAAGGATATCGGGGGGGGTGTCTCATGACAGCAGTGTAAATAAAAGACACAAAATATAGACTAAAAATAAAATCGTGATGGTGAATTGAAAAAGGAAACAGAATTGATCAAATTCTCAGCCTACAAGGCTGACATAATGATGGTACCACGGAGCAAAAGACTCACGTCTGAAGAGGCGTCTGATTTGGAGAAGGGTCACGTCTTGAATTTCAGAAGAACACTGGGGGGTCTGTGGCCATTTAAGGCAACAGTTGGAAAATCTCTGACAGTCCTTGCACTGAGGTGGAGGGCTCTGTTCCCTCCTCCGGGATCTGCATGGGCTTGTGCATAATGCGGCACAGGTGACACTATGAGATTTCGAAGGCTCTGTCAGAAAAGGTGTGTCAGCTTCCTCCCTGCTTGTGGAGACAGTGCTTCTGAAGCCCGGAGCTGCCGAGTAAGACACCCAGCCGTCCTGAGCCTGCGGGGCAAGGGAGCCCAGGCAGTGCGGGGAAGCCACATGCGGGTGTTCTGGTCATCGGCCTCAACCGAGAACCCGTAACAACCACCAGGAAAGTGAGTGAAGATACCTCTAGATCAGAGGTTGGCGTACTTTTCTGGAAGAGGCCAGATGGTAAGTAGTATAGATTTTGCAAGCCATATCACGTCTATATGCAGAGACTACAAGCAGCTATAAGAACTCTTGTGGGGACAAAGCAGCCCCAGACAATAGATAAATGAATGGATACTGCTGTGTTCCCTAACCTTTCATTTACAAAAGGGTCAGAGGGCCCTACTTTTCTGATTCCTGCTCTAGATGATTCTATCCCAAAATGCCACGTCTACTCAGTTGAGGGCCCAGACTGCAGGGAAGAGATACACCATATCTGTAAGACCTTGTCCTCATCCCTCACTGGTGAACATAATAAAAGGGTTGTTGAAAGTCACTAGAATAAAATCCAAGTACACCTGTTCATTATGGCCAACAAGCAATCAGAGATCTGGAATTAAAAGCTTAGAAAAGAGGCAGCGTGGTACAAAGACTGGGTCGGCAGATCAAGACCTAAGTCTTGATCTCATGGTTCATGAGCTTGGGATTCTCTCTCTCCTTCTCTCAAATAAAGGCAGATAGTAGATGTTTTTGGCTTTGTGAGTCCACACACCCTCTGTTGCAATAAGTCAAGCAACTCAACTCTGCTGCCATTGGTAGTATGAAAGCAGACAGAGAATGAATAAGCATGTATGTGTTCTAATAAAACTATTTACAAAAACAGGTAGTAGGCTAGATTTGGTCTGAGGACCACAGTTTGCCAACCCCTGGTTGGCAAGAAAGAATAACGCCTTTATGAGAAGACCCTGGTTCAAAAATCCCTTCTCTGCTACTTATGAGGATGGATTAGTCTCAACTTCCTGAACCTCAACTTTCCTTACCTATAAAAACACAGTGAACAATACCCACCTTGCAGGATCACTTAAATGTGTGGCATGAAATAAACACACAAATTACAGTTTAATATTTTTCAAAGGTTAGGAGTAAAAACAAATAGCATATTTTCTATGGAAAGCTGTTAAAGTCATGAGAATAAAGTTTCTTAGAGAATAAATCAAGTACAGGAGTTAACCCGGGGGTACAAAAAGAAAACAGAGAAATGAAAGAAAAATACAGTTCAAGAAAAAAATCCCTAGAGAAACAAAAGCACAATGAGACAGAATTGGGGGCACCAGGGTGGTTCTGCTGGGTAAGTGTCTGACTTTTGATTTTGGCTTAGGTCTTGATCTCATGGTTGATGAGCTTGGGATTCTCTCTCTCCCTCTCTCAAATAAATAAATAAAAGTTTTTTTAAAAATGAGAAAGAATGGAGGATGAGAAAAGTCAAGAAAATGCAATTTTAAGAAAAAACAAAACAAAACAAAAAAAAACACCAGGAGTGGCACTATCTCCAAAGGGCTTCTTTTTTGCTTAAAGCTAATCTTTCCACGGTGCTCCTTGTAAAATCCTGTCCTGTTTCTTTCAAAGTCTTGCCTGTATCAGATAGTCCCCCACCTCTCTCTTTCTCACTCACACACACACTCCATTCTTGTTACGCAGAGCAGTTAGGTTCCACAAAATCACTGTAAACACTGAATTAGTGAACACCGAACTGCTGCTCTTAGGGAAATACAGGGTTAGGTTCCCACCTGCCTAGAGAGATAACATTTTCATCAACTGATCAATATATAACCTTATTTGATGTGTATTTCAGTTTATTTATTTTTTAATGTTTTTTTATTTACTTCTGAGAGAGAGAGAGAGAGAGCGCGAGCGTGTGCGAGCAGGGGAGGGTCAGAGAGAGGAAGACACAGAATGTGAAACAGGCTCCAGGCTCTGAGCTGTCAGCACAGAGCCCGACGCAGGGCTCGAACCCACGAATCGTGAGACCATGACCTGAGCTGAAGTCGGACCCTTAACCGACTGAGCCACCTAGGCGCCCCTGTGTATTTCAGTTTAAAGACACTTTATTTTATATAGTTGATTCATTAATGCTGAATTCATGACCGACAGCACTGTAACAGATGCCTGAATGGTGTTTATACCTATAAGGTATAAGGTGTAATATACCTATAAGGTATATTACAACTTCCTTCACATAAGAATACTAGCCAGCATGAGATGCCTGGATGGCTCAGTCGGTTAAGCCTCCAACTTCAGCTCAGGTCATGATCTCTTGGTTCATGGGTCTGAACCTTGCCTTGGACTCTGTGCTGACAGCTCAGAGCCTGGGGCCTGCTTCAGACTCTGTGTCTCCCTCTCTCTCTATTCTTCCTTTGCTCATGCGCTCTTTCTCTCTCTCAAAAATAAATACACATTAAAATAAGTAAATAAGAAGAATACTAGCCAGCACTTTAGCACTATGTTGGAAACAATTTTTTTTAGGTTTATTTATTTATTCTGAGAAAGAGAAAAAGCCCAAGTGGGGGAGGGGCGGAGAGAGGAGGAGAGAGAGAGAGAGAGAGAGAGAGAGAGAGAGAATCCCAAGCAGGCTCTGCACTGTCAGTGTAGAGCCCCATGGGGGGCTCAAATTCAGGAACCCTGAGATCATGAGACCATGAACTGAGCTGAAGTTGGACACTTAAACATCTGAGCCACCCAGGCGCCCCGCTTGGGGACAATATTAAACAGTGAAATCACCAACAAAATGCAGAGAAATGCAAAAAACAGTCCTAAAGCAACTGTAGGAAGAGTAGTGGTTTGCAGCGGAGGAGGTGAAACAAGAAGGTAGAGGTCTGTCTTACTCAGTGTCGGCCGGGAAGGTGTACAGCAGGTAACTCGAAATTTTTTCCATTCTCTACGTCAATGAAAAACTTCAAAAGCAACATGAGTATTATTTTGGGGGAATATAAATAATTTTAGCAAGCAGGCAAATCTGCAAACATGAAATCTACTCATAAGGAGTATCAACTGTGTGTGCGTACATACATATACGTATGCGTGTATATTTTCCCCTCTGAAGACACAGGCAGCCTGGGTATACTGTATGCCAAGAGGCAGGAAAAACAAAAGCAGTAATGAGCGTGCAACACAAGTACGGAAAAGACTACCCTAGAAGAAACGGTAGCATAAGTGAACTACCAGCTGAGGTGGCTCCTTGCTGAGTTCCAGATAGAGACTATCCCAGGGGCAGCTGCCACGCAAAGGAAACTGTTTGCGTCACATAAGATGGGAGGAGAGACTAAGATGGGGGGAAGTGGAGGTGGGGGGCTGGTGACCGGGTTTCTGTATTTTAGGGTTAGGATGAACATTCAGAAAGGGGAGCTTTGTCACTGCACGTAACGGGACGTGAGGCTGCCCAGGCACACTCTGGGAACACGCCTATGCGTCCTCCGCTACCTTAATGAAGCGCGTGCTCCTTATAAGGAAGCGGAGGTACGCGTAGGGCAAGGGGAAGGGGCTCGGGGCAGGCTCCGGCCCGCAGTGTGTGAACCGGGTGGGGCTTGGGCTCGTTATTTCAGGTAAGGAACGCAGGACCTGTTTACTTTTGAAACTGCACTGGGAGCTTTACCCCTGATTTACTGTCCCTGCTAAGGTCAGGCCACTTCCTGGACTCGTAGAGAGTGTTAGTTCTCGCATTCCTTTTTTTCCCCTTAAAATCCTTAACTACGGGAGGTTTCTGTATTTGTAATTCTGACACCTCCTTTTGGGCTTCGGATCATGGAAAACAGGCGGGGCCCTAAAATGACTTCTCTTGTGTCACCAAAGCGATGTCTCATCTTTCTTTTTCTGGGGGCCCCTCGCTCTTTCAGTTTACAGTAGGGCAGAGAATGCAAACCCAAGTGTTACTCTCACCTGACACAGGAGGAAGAGAACGAATGTATGGAAACTGAGCTTTTGTAAATCCTCTTTTCCAGAATCAAATGTGTCTTCCAAGTAGAAGAGCCCCCCACCCAAAGCATAAATGAGAAAACATTATCCAATGGTCAACTAAATGGTCCCTCATCAGGCATGCGCAAGAGAGAACAAGACTCTAAATTTGAGGTTCTCAACATGTGGCAATTTTGACAACCCTTCCCCACCACCAGGATCGTGGGGGTAGAAATGTGGTGGCTGGAAGCCAGCAATGCTGCTAAACACTCTGCCAGGCACAGGACAGCTTCCCACAACAAAGAATCTGGGGGTGAGAGGCCAGCAACGCTGTTAACCATTCTGCAAAGCACAGGGCAGCTTTTCACAGCAAAGATCTATCCCACCCGAAATGCTCACAGTGCTGAGGCTGAGAAATCCTACCCTTCCAAATCCCATGGACCACCTGGAATGCTAGTGTGTTCACCGGACGACTGAAAAACAAACTTAAACGTGAGGCTGCCCCCTACTGGGAACGATAAATAGAAGGTGGCTGAGAAGCCAGACGACTGAAAACACTGCTCAATATTAGTCATCTTTTCCTCTGCCCTTTTGGACTTGTGACCAGAACAGCTGGTAGCGCTGGGGTAGGTAAATGAAAGAGGAAGTTATCTGCAAATCAGTGGTTTCAAATGCAAATGCTGTAATCTATGCACGTGCAGGCGGCCGTTGCAGGTAAGGTTTAAAGGTTTAAAGAACAGCTGAAATGATGCTAATTTTGTTTTATAATTTACAGGTCTGAGACAAACAGAACCTCAAATTTTATCAAAATTGGGAAACCCCAGCGATTGTAACAAATTTATTAGAGATGTGGAATTAAACCACCCCATCAGGAAATTGATACTGCTGATGGAAGAGAGGGCTGCTTTTGCTAGGGGCTCCCCCTTCTCCATTCTTAGTTGCGGGAGGCACCCACTGGAGTGAGAAGAGTGGTTTCAACTTCAGTCCCCCCCCTGCCCCTCACTGGCCGGGCAGCCCAGCAGAGGTCACAATATCTCTACACTTCTTTAGATCTGTTAAAACAAAATTTTCTTCCAGCTAACGTTCATCCTAGAATTTTAAAGAGCTGATATAAAGAGAACCATGGCTAAAAAAGAATAAGGCTCATTATACATTTAATCCGTCTCTCTTTTCACTTCAAGTTAGGCCTTCTTCTGAGACACGTTTTATTCTTTCCTTTCCCAGTTAAGGTCTCCTATGATATTTATTTTTATTTCCCTCTCATAAAAAAAAAAAGTTTTCAGTTTCAACAGGGAGGTATGCACCCAGTAAAAATGGGTCAAGCATAAACCATTTACTATTTCATGTAAATAGCTTCATTCAACCAAAAAAGATCAGTGCTGTTTGGTATGCTTATTTCTTCTAAATATTTTAGTTTTCATTTCTGAGACAGAGAGAGCGCACACGATGCGGGGGGGAGGGGGGGGGCTAGCAGAGCGAGAGGGAGACACAGAATCTGAAGCAGGCTCCAGGCTCTGAACTGTCAGCAAGGAGCCCTACGTGGGGCTGGAACTCCATAACCGCGAGATCATGACCTGAGCCAAAGTCGATGATTAACCAACTGAGCCACCCAGGTGCCCGTTTACCTCAAATAATCTAGAAATGAATCCTAACTACAATATTATCACAAGCGTTCTGAAGAGTAAGTAGCAAGGGTATAATGGACTTTATAAAGTGATTTACGCATTAGGGGTCAAACAGAATAAATATCCACAATGGAAAACAATCATAATTTTTCATAACCTCTCAAGGGCATTTAAAATGCTTAAGACCTGAAGAAACCATTCATTTCTACAGTTAAGCATTTTACTTACCACATGCTAGCACTGGCACACACATGCACGCACACGTGAACACACGCATTCAGGAGATCAAGCAGAGAACCAAAACATAATTATGAATTACTGGTCACTCCAACACTACACAGGTAAATACTAGAGAAACAGTGAGGTGCAATTAAACTTCAGAGAACCAAACCAAACACATCTGTTTCCAGTTTCAGTAAAAGACCAAACATAAACAGACTGAAAACATAGCAGAAAAAAATAGAAACTTCAACGTTCAAGAAACACCAGAAGTGTTTCACATCAGTTAAGTCTTAATCCTGCCCTCAGCCTAGAGATTCTGGTTCAACAGGGCCGGTAAGGGGCATGGAAACCTTTTTTTTTTTTCCCCCCCCACTCAACTGACCCTGATGATCAGTGACAATGGGATCTTAAAAATCACATTCAGGGCGCCTGGGTGGCTCAGTCAGTTAGGCTTCCAACTTTGGCTCAGGTCATGATCTCCCCGTCTGTGGGCTGGAGCCTGCTTCGGATTCTGTGTCTCCCTCTCTCTCTGCCCCTCCCCTGCTCACGCTTTGTGTGTGTGTGTCTCTCAGAAATAAATAAAACATTAAAAAATTTTAAAAGAAAGAAAAACGTATTCAAATGGAGGGGGGGGGGGTCAAGTCAATTTGGCATGCATCATGACTAGCCTTCCACCGAGCCTGAAGAATAAACATGGAATCCTCTTGCTAAGAGAAGAAAAAACGGATACAACTTCTCACAAGTGAGGTCCAGAGTGGTTCTCGGCTGGGGATCAGACTACATGAGCGGAGGCTGGTTTTCAAATTCAAGGTCAAACCCAGGTGAGCCGCCCGGTGCGGGGCCGAAGCTGGTTACCTTCTCGAAGTGCACTCGCGACAGGAGCACGGGGCTGTCGGACTGAGGGCTCGTGTTGTACGAGGGGCAGTACTTGTCGGGGTCCTTCCACTCGGGGAGCCGCTCCCGGCCCTGCCGGTCGCGATAGGCGCACGCTCTCGCGAGCACGTCTCTGGGCAGGTGGCAGGAGGTTCGGCCGCACATCGTCCTGCGAGGCCTCGCACACCCTGCAGACGAGAGCCCACGTCTGTCCACACCGCCGGCACGCTGGGCGGCCTGACGCGCCCCCTCCCCCGCCAGGGGCCATCCTTCAGCTCAGCCGTGCGGCCGAAACTCACACTGCGGGGGGGAGGGGGCGCTGGAGGGGGGCAGGGCGCTGCCGGGGCCACTTCCTCCGCGGGACCCTTCGCGGCCCCGCTCCTCCTCCCCCCACAGGGCAGCGGCCCGGGGCTCCCGCCCGCTAGCCCGCCTGGACGGCGGCCTGCGCCCCAGGTCCAGGGGCCCCGCGCCCCCGGCCGTCCCGCCTCACCTCACCTCGCCCCACGTCCGCCTCCGCCCGCCTCGCCTCCCGTCCGCCTCGGCCCGCCCCGCGTCCGCCTCGGCCCGCCCCGCCTCCCGTCCGCCTCGGCCCGCCCCGCGTCCACCTCGGCCCGCGCCTCCTCGCCTCCCGTCCGCCTCGGCCCGCGCCTCCTCGCCTCCCGTCCGCCTCGGCCCGCCCCGCCTCCCGTCCGCCTCGGCCCGCCCCGCGTCCACCTCGGCCCGAGCCTCCGAGCCTCCCGTCCGCCTCGGCCCGCCCCGCGTCCACCTCAGCCCGCGACGCCTCGCCCCCCGTCCACCTCGGCCCGAGCCTCCGAGCCTCCCGTCCGCCTCCCGCCCGCCCCGCCGCGCCTCCCGTCCACCTCCCGCCCGCCCCGCCGCGCCTCCCGTCCACCTCCGCTAGGCGGTCAGCGACGCTCTGCGCCCGCGGGCGCTCAGACTCAGCGGGCCGGCGTCCCCGGCGTCAGGCCCCGCCCCCCAGCGGGGTCAGCCCCGCCCCCGGCGCCGGCGCCTAGCCCCGCCCCCACGTTCCCGCGGCGTCCCCGCGGTCTGCGTCTTCTGACAGTAGCCCGCGGGGAGGCTACGACGGGCTGTGCGGACTCGCGGCTTGCGGGTTCTAGAAGCTCAGCTGCCCTCCGTAGAGGCCCACGCCCTGCGGGGTTAAGCCCCAGGGCCAGCCGCAGGCATGGGGTGGGGCCCGGGAGCCGGAGGCGCCCCGGTCTGTATGGGGCGCCGGCCGCTGGAGGGCTGGCAACAGGCGACATTTGACCGACCTCGCACTGAGGCTCGGAGTTTGGCGCGGACATCGAGAGGCCCTCAGGGAGACAGGTGAATCATACAAGTGGCTCACAGACTGGCAGGCACCGGAGTGTGGCCTTCGAGACCCTTCACCCCCCCCATCTGAATTCCTAAGGGTCAGGCCTAGATTTAAACTTTTTTAAATGTTTATTTACTTAAAAAAATTTAATGTTTTTTATTTATTTCTGAGAGAGAGAGAGAGACAGCGTGAGCAAAGAAGGGTCAGGGAGAGAGGGAGACACAGAATCTGAGGCAGCTCCAGGCTCCGAGCTGGCAGTCAGCACAGAGCCCGACGCGGGGCTCGAACCCACGAACCGTGAGATCATGACCTGAGCTGAAGTCAGACGCTTAACCGACTAAGCCACCCAGGCGCCCCAATGTTTACTTTTGAGGAAGAGAGAGAGAGAGAGAGAGAGAGAGAGACAGCGCGAGTGGAGGAGGGGCAGAGAGAGGAGGAGATGCAGAATCTGAAGCAGGCTCCGGGCTCTATGCGGGGCTCGAACCTCCTAACCATGTGAGATCATGACCTGAGCCGAGGTGGGAGGCTTAACCGACTGAGCCACCCAGGCGCCCCTAGATTTCCAAAAACAGGCTTTGCAGGCCTATTTTGGCCATGAAATTAGCAAAGCCACGTGACTGGACTTTTCAAAAGCAGGCCTCTGAGCCTGCTCCGTTGGGACGGGAACCAGGGAGCAGCGAGTGCCCCCCGAGGGCTGTTGTCCTCGGTGCGCTCACCGAATTGGGAGCAGGCAAGGCCCAGTGCACACCCCACCTCAAGCCTCATGCTAGGTGCTGCCCAAGTGACCCCCCCACCCCCCGCGGCCTCCATGCAGCATCTGGGGGGGGGGCGAGGACGCAAGTACAGGTGCGTGACCTCAGTGCCTGCTGTCACCCCTCAGCAAGGGCCCCTCAGCTCTCGCTCCTGCCGCTTGCATGGAGGGGAGTGAGGGCAGTCTGGCCCCCAGGTTAAGTGCAGGAGCCCAAAGGCTGTGGGAGTGAAGGGGCCAGAGGTGTTCCCGGGGGAGGCTCAGCGGGGGAAAGGGGAGCCCTTAAGCATGAGTCTGCAGAAGTAGTCATTCAATAAATACATGCGGATTTATTTATAGGGCTAAGACGGTTTCCTTGGGGACAGATTCAGGAGGAGGTGCGTTTTATCCATCTGCGATGCCCCCACCCTGACGGCAGCAGGCGCTAGGACCAGCTAAAATCATCCCCTATTTTAAAAAAGAAAAAAAGCTACCCCCGAGGAGTCCTGGAGCAGGGGTTAAATTTAAAAAACAAAATTTTTTTTTCAGTGATTCCTGTTTTTGAATACAGAAGACTTCGGAAGGAGTTTCCAGTGCGTCAGGGCGAAGGCGTGGCTTCTGCGTCGTGCTGGGGGGAAGCGGGGAGGAGGGGCCCGCGCGGGCTGGCCTCTTAGCCCACAGACGCCAAGATGATGTCTACCGGCAGCTCCTCCGACCCCCTGGCGGTCACCTGCATCGTCACCGTGTCCAAGAGCAGGAGCCGGGAGCGCACCAGGATGTCGTGACCCCCCCGGAACACACCTGGAGGGGGGAAAGCGCAGGTGTGGAGGCCGAAGCGGGCTGCGGTGGCTCGGCTGACGGCAACCGACCTCGGCAGCTGTGCTGCAGGGAGTGGGAGCTGGGCTGAGAGCCCTGAGCGAGGTCACCTCGCTGGGCCACAGGACTGCCGATTACAGAGTAAGGAGATCACCACGCGGACCGCTGTGCAAGCTTCTGCCAGGCACGAATGAGTTAACGGACGTACGAGGCTCTCCCTGCGTGTTGGCTAAGTCTGAGAGCACCTGTGAAGGGACAGCCCCTCCGTGACAGAACCGCACAGCAGGTGTCTGCCAGACCCGGGGGACTGGGTGGCTTCAGTGCGGCCGGAAATGCTTTGCCTGGGGTCCGTCAGCTGTGAGCAGGGCACTGAAGCAGAGCTGCGTCCCAACCCTGTTTATAAACACTCGGAAGGGAGCGAAAATCCCCCGCTGCTTCTGTTCGTTGTTCTGGGTGTGACGATTGTATTGCCCTCACCCCTTTATGGATTTATTTTATTTTTAAATTCACTTATTTATTTAAATGTTTATCATTTTTGAGAGCGAGAGAGTGCACGCTCTGGAAGGGGAGGGGCAGAGAGAGAGGGAGACAGAGGATCCAAAGCGTCTCCCACATGGGGCTCACAAACCGTGAGATCATGACCTGAGATCATGATCTGACCGGAAGTCGGACGCTTAACTAAGTCACCTAGGCGCCCCTTCCCCACGCCTTTAAACAAAGGCTTTAAGGGAGCCTGGGTAGCTCAGTCAGTTAAGCATCCGGCTTCAGCTCAGGTCACAATCTCACAGCTAGTGGGTTCGAGCCCCACATCCGGCTCTGTGCTGACAGCTCAGAGCCTGGAGTCTGTCTTTAGATTCTGTGTCTCCCTCTCTCTCTGACCCTCCCCTGCTAACGTCTCTCTCTCAGAAATAAATTTAAAAACTTAAAAAAAATTAAAACAAAAAAACTAAAGGCTTTAGCGACATCCAGATCTAGAGACATTTACAAACAAAATGCTATGTCTGGAATTTTCTTTAACCTGGGGCGGGGAGTAGAATGAGGAGCGGTATAGATGCTGTTAGTTGTTGAAGCTGGAAGATAAGCACATGAGGGTTCATGACACTATTCGGTTTCTGAGAATGGCTGAAAATTTCCATGTTGACTTCTTATTAGAGAAGACCAACCAACCCAGTAGAAAATTAGAGAAAGGATGTGGAAATAATTCACAGGGAAAAAAAATACAAATGGCACACGCATCTCAGACACTGAACTTCATTCGAGATGTAAGAAATGTAAAAGAAGAATGACACTAAAATGCCATTTTTCACCCAGACTGCAAGAAATCATTTGCTAATGATGTGATAATGTACCGTGTACAGTACTGGTAACATATACTGTGCTGTCCAGTGTGGAAGAGAAGGTATACAGGCCCTGGAACTGCCTGGAAGGCAACTGGAAATTTTTATCAAAATGAGAAATGTGCTTTACCCTGGGAACACCTTGGGAAGTTTTCCTATAGACCCCCTTCGGGCACACATACAACATAAAGTCTGTGTGTCTGTGTGTAGTGTGTGGTTATTCACTGCAGCACTGTTTGTCACAGCAAAAGCCTGGAATCTTCTAAACGGTCATTGGTACAGGTGGATTCTATAAAATGTGGTACAAGCTACAAAAAAGTATGAGTATTCGCTTTGGGACGGTAAAGTCCTGGGGACGGATGGTGTTGACAACCGTGCAATAACGCGGATGTACGTAATGCCACTGAACTGTGCACCTGACGTTGAAATGGCAAAATTTTACTTTATGTACATCTCACCTCAATTAAAAAAAGAAAAAGAGGAAACTCTATTTTTACCGTAATCTCTATCCCCCTCCCCCACTGTGGGGCTCAAACCCACGAGCCGTGAGATCATGACCTGAGCCAAGGTCAGGTGCTTAACTGACTGAGCCCCCCAGGCGCCCCACACTGCTGGGCTTTTTTAACTTTGTAAATTTTCAACGCTGTGAATTTGAATCCCTGTGTTCGCAGTGGCTGCCCTCAGCCCGGGAGCCACCCAGCCCCCCAACCCTGCCAAACGCTGCTTACCAGCCAGGAGCAGTGTGTGGGTGTTCTTGTTATCCGGCACTTTGTCCGACCTCTCACAAGGGTGCATTCCCAGGAACTTGACGATGTTGCCCACAGCCTCTGTAGGGAGGGACCCCGGCATCGTCAAGCCACACCTCGTTCCCTTTTTGTGTCACTGCTACTGCCCCATCCCCAGAGCCTGCTCTAAAGGGCTTTTTTTTTTTTAAAGCTTATTTATTTATTGCGAAACAGAGAGAGAACGAACAGGGGAGGGGCAGAGAGAGGGGGCCAGAGGGTCTGAAGTAGGCTCTGAGCTGACAGCAGAGACCCCGACATGGGACTTGAACTCATGAACCGCAAGATAATGACCTGATCTGAAGTCAGATGTTTAACTGACTGAACCACCCAGAGGCACCCCCTTTTTTAGTTTGTTTAGTTAGTAATCTCTACACCCAGCCTGGGGCTCAAACTCACAACCCCAGGATCAAGAGATGCATGCTCCTCTGACTGAGCCAGCCAGGTGCCCCTCTAAGAGGTATGTGCTCGAGCCATGGCCTTGGCTCCCTGGGGAGCGAAAGCTGGGAGGGATGAAAGGGGAGGGCACACAAGGATTTTACCTTCAAGGGTCTTGATGGTAGACAAGGTGAATGTCTCTTCCTTCTCAAACTCGTCCCCTACCTCGTCCCAGGCTGCCTCAAAGTTCAGCTTCAGGACCTTTTGGATGTGATCAGCGACAGTGACTTCCAGATCTTCCAGCTGGGGAGACAGAAGTGGAAGGTAGGCACGCACCTCCAGGGAAGTGAGCTCCTGGTCTGCACACCTCTGGGCCTCTGCTCTGAACTCACTGCTCATCTCCCCCGAAGCCTTCTTTTTTAAACGTTTGTTTATTTTATTTTTAAAATGTTTTATTTATTTCTGAGAGACAGACAGCATGAGCAGGGGAGGGTCAGAGAGAGAGAGAGAGGGAGACACAGAATCTGAAGCAGCCCCAGGCTCTGAGCTGTCAGCACAGTGCCCGACGCAGGACTCGAACCCACGAACCGTGAGATCATGACCTGAGCCGAAGTCGGA